ATTGAGTTTTTCTTCAGTTTCAGCTGCAGGAAAAATATATTTAATCTGATGTAAAAACCAGGATGTAAAATGTGAAAATTAAGAAAATGATTTTATTTAAACTGAAGAAGAATAAAAGTTTCTTCTTACCTGAAACATAGAGTTTAGTTCCAGAACCAAAGATGGGGTAGTAGTGCGGGAACCTGCTAAAGACACAGTGACACAGTCTGGTCCAAAAACCTGAGCACCAAGCAGAACTGGTCCAGATCAGGCCAGGATCAGATTTTAGATCCAGGATTTGTGTCAGTAATGTTCTGATGAACATGAGCCTCAGCAGCAGCCTGCCTCTGCTCCTCATCCTCTCTGCTTTAGTCCACATGGACTGGATCTGGACTGAAGAATGGATGGAGTCTGGTGGTCCAGTTCCACTTCTGAACTGGAATGAAAAACAGAGACTGATAAACACTGAAACTATCAGTGGGACCTGCTGAGCTGCTGTGTCTGAGTCCAGGTGTGTCTGAGACAGGCAGGTGGATCAGTGAGGCTACAGGGACCAGGAGTCACAAAGATCCAGAACCAGAGAGACCTCAAACAAAACACTTGGTCTCCAGTTCCAACTTGATCTGATATAAACTATTCAGCATTTAACAGATTTAAAATGAGACCAGGTGAAATATTTTATTAAAACATCCATCCAGATGAGTTGCTCAGTCTGAAGCTCAGCGCATTAATCAACAGGTTACTGTTCTCTTCCTGATTGTTCATCAGGAGCATTTTGTTCAGCCTGCAGGGAGCTCTGTCTCACTGTGGAGAGCTCGAACCCAACAACTACAGTAGTAGGAGGCTGAATGATCCTGTTTAACTTTATTTATCTTCAAACTACAGCCATTTGGTTTTGTTTCTGCTGAGAAATCATCTTTCTGTGTGTGATTGTAGCTGTTATCTATTTCACCAGTTACACAGTTATTATTCAGAATTATTTTGAAAGTTTCTGTTTCTTTCTTCTGGTACCAGAATATCCAGCTATAATCACACTGCTCAGTCCCTGTACAGCTGAAGGAGACAGGTTGTCCAGCTCTCCTGGTCAGGGTTACATCATCCTGGACCAGGTCTGCTGCCATGACAAGCAGCGCTGCAGAGACACAGACAGACAGGTGAAGGTCAGTGGGACAGTGTTTGTTCCAGGTGGACTTTGTGGGCTCCTGATTGGCTGGAAACACTCACCTGAACACAGAC